GGAGCGGGAGGCGCGGAGGCGCAGCCGCGACATCGACGCGCTGCTGGCCCGCGAGCGGCGCGCCGTGCGGCGCCTCGTCAAGATCCTGCTGCTGGGCGCCGGCGAGAGCGGCAAGTCCACCTTCCTCAAGCAGATGCGCATCATCCACGGCCGCGAGTTCGACCAGAAGGCGCTGCTCGAGTTCCGGGACACCATCTTCGACAACATCCTCAAGGTGGGCCGGGACTCGGGGCGCCCCCACCCCGCACACCTGTCGGCAGGTAGGGGGACACCGGGGGCGCCCCTCCGCCCCGCACACCTGTCGCCTCGTAGGGCAGGCAGGGGGACCCCGGCGTCACCCTCACCCTGCCCACTTGTCAGCAGGTAGGGCAGGTAGGGGAACCACCCAGGGGCGCCCCTTCCGCCCCTGCACACCTGTTGACAGGTAGGGGACTCCCCTGGGGCGCCCCTTCCGCCCCTCTCCCGCTGGCCGCGCGTACACGTGTCTGGCAGGTAGGGCCGCAGCCGCCCTCCTGGGTCCATCCCCTCGCCGCGCGTCGCCCTGGCCCAGGGTCTTCCGCAGCACTCCCTAGGGGACACTGTAGTCCCCAGGGTGAGCGCCCCTCACCTGGCCTCACGCTTTCTTTCCTTACCACCCCCCACCCCCTCCTGCACCCTCGCCCTGGTACCTGGGGCTGCTGGACGTGGTGCAGCTGGCCAACTTCTGGGAAGAACACGCCACTGTGGGGAAGGGCTGCAGGGTAGCATCCACCCGTTGTCTCCTTCCAGCTTCCTAGGGTGGGGAAACGGCGCTTAACTTGCCCTTCAGCGAAGTTTTGGAGAGCAGTGTAAACTGGAGGGGAAGCCAGCCACTAGTCTTTCTTTCTAAACTTTTCATGATGAAACTTTCAAACATACACAAAAATAGAATAGCATGATGGTACAGTGAACTTTCACAGTGGTCATCTTGTTTCATCTGTACTCCCTCTCTCTGTTCCCGCCCCCATTATTTTAAAAGCAAATCGCAGGCATCGTGTAATTTCATTGGCAGATAATTTAGTATGTATCTCTAAAAGAGGAGAACTTGTTTTAAAAACATAACGAGTATCTAACCTAAAAATTAATAACAATTTCTTAACGTCATCAAGGAGAGTCCCTGGGTAGCACATACGGTTAAACACTGGATCACTAGATGAAAGGTTGGCGGATCGAACCTACCCAGGGACGCCTCAGAAGACAGGCCCTGAGATGTGCTTTCGAAAGGTCACAGCCTTGAAAACCCTATGGAGCAGTTCTACTCTGTACATGTGGGGTCACCATGCGTCGGAGTCAACTCGATGACAACTAACAACAACAAAATATCAAATATCCAGTCCATGTTCAGATTTCCCCCATTGGTGCGTAATTACTGGAATAGTTTGAGTCAAGATACAAAGACAAGCCTTACATTGCTATTTTTAATGTAGCTCCTGAATTGCCATTGAATCTCCATATTCTCCTTCTCTGTCTTGTCTCCATTTTATTTGTTGCAATTTGTGTTTGTGGAAGAAATGGGCCAATTGGTCCTGTAGAGTTGACGTAGTCAGGGTTCTAGTCTCTCTCTGAGGTGAACCTGTGCTAACATGCCCAAAGAAAGAAAGCTGGAGAAAACTGAGGATGAGGGGAGAATATAGTCTATCAGACACCTACATAGAGTCTTTCCTCCTTTTTTTCTTCTTTTTTTTTTTAAACTTTATCTTTACCCGTTTGTCACGCCCTCACTGTTTCCCAAGCTGATTTTGGGGAAACCAAATTGCATGCATGAGGAAAGTTGTTTCAGAGCAGCGGTAAGCGGGAAGTTTGTCATACCAGGAAACCTGCCTGTGCTCTGGATTTAATGGTGCCCAAGGAATTTTAAATTTAGCAAAAAAAAAAGTTACCACTGAGTCAGCTCTGACTCATGGCGACCCCATGTGTGTCAGAGTAGAACTGTGCTCCATACAGTTTCCATGACTGACCTTTTAGAAGCAGATCTCCAGACCTTTCTTCTGAGGCATTTCTGGGTGAGTTCGAACCACTAGCCTTTTGATTAGTACCCAGTGCTTAACCATTTGAGCCACCAGAGCTCCTTAAATTTAGCAGAGGGTTAAGGAAACCCATCTAGTACATTTCTTTCACTTCAACCATGAGGAAGTCTGACCTTGGCAATGAAGTGACCTCTTCGTGGGCCCTCAGTGCTGGAACCCTGACACCAGACTTCCAGGCCTGCTGCTTTCTTCCAGGATTGCCTCAGAAATCTTGCACCAGTATTCCCACTTTACGTATTTGTTATTAGAATATGTCATTTTTAATAAAAGTAGCTCCTTTAGGATGCCAACTGGAAGAAAATCATTTGAATGATAAAACACCCCTTTCCTTTTCACCTCTTTCAAAAGGCTCTCTGTGAGTCAGCGTTCTGGCCAGATACTTCCTGAGCTTTGAAGGCTGGGTGCCCAGTGTGATTCATGGGGAATTGGCTGTGTGTTTAGAAATCCCCTCATCTTCTGGGGCAAAGTGCATCAATTGTCTTCCAGAGCTTGGTTTCTAACTTCTCTGCCAAACAGCCTAATTTTATTTTTGCTGCTTTCCTCACCCTCAGAGCTAGGCAGGTATAAAAGTATAAAGACTTAGCAGACTGTCGCCCGTTTTATTTCAATTTGGGAGGCAGAGAAAGTATTTAAAAACATAGAATCTTGAATCTAAATCAGTATATTAAGTGTGTTTTAGAAAACTCAGTCTTAACCTATTCCCAGTGCATATAAACATTAAATTTTACCGGCTTTCTTATCAACAGAAACACGATTTGTTAACCACTATTTTCCTTCCAACTTTTTATTACTAATAACCAAACCAAACCCATTGCCGTCAAATCGATTCAGACTCATAGCAACCCTATCGGACAGTCTAGAACTGCCCCGTAGGGTTTCCAAGGAGTGCCTGGTGGATTCGAACTGCCGACCTTTTTGTTAGCAGTTGCAGTGCTTAACCACTATGCCACCAGGGTTTCGTTTTATTACTAATAGTGGTTCCATATTAAACTCACTTTATCTGCTGTGACCACTTCAATAACCAGTTAGAAATTCATCGTTCTGTTTGCAGCCAAAAATCCTTCCCTCCGTATTCCTTTGGATAGATCACTTTGGGAAGAGACTCTTTGAAATAAATTGCTTTGCATGGCTTAAAAGTGAACATTGGAATGATACTGTTTAGGATAACGTTTGTGTCTGCATATAGATTTAGTATGATTAACAGGCTATTTTTAAAGCACTTACAGTGTGCCGTGAATCGTGCAGGCCTTTTCATATATGGCATTTAGTTTTCATCACGCTCAGATGGTATCGTGCCGTTTAGCCAATGAGAAAATTAAGGAGAGAGAGCTTAAAATCTGCTCTAGGCCAGTTACCTAATTAGAAGGTGACAGAGCTGGGAATCAAACCTGATCTTTTTTTTTTTTTAATTAAACTTTGAATTTTGAGACACTAGTAGAATCATATGCACTTCTAAGAAATAAAACATCCCACGTACCCTTTGTCCAGTTTTCTCCAAAACTATAGTTTTCTTGCAAAACTATAGTATATCACAACGAGGATATTGACATTGATACAGTCAAGACGCAGAACCTTTCCATCACCACTGGATCCCTCATGTTGCTCTTTTATATCTACTCCAGCCTTCCTCTCTGTCTGTGACCTTGGCATTTTATCATTTCAAGAATGTTATATAAATGGAATCATGCAGTGTATGATCTTTTGGAATTGGCTTTGATCAGTCAGCATAATTCCTTGGAGGTTCATCCAAGTTGCTGCCTGTTTGTTCCTTTTCATGGCTGAGTAGTATTCATTAAAAGAGCCCCGGTGGTGCAACGTTAAGCATTTGGCTGCTAACCAAAAGGTTGATGGTTCAAACCCACCCAGCAGATTCGTGGGAGAAAGACCTTGCTCCTATAAAGATTACAGCCTAGGAAGCCTTATGGGGCAGTTTTACTCTGTCACATGGGGTCACTATGAGTAGGAATCCACTCTGTGGCACCCCACAACAACAAAAACAGTATTCCATGGTATGGAGGTACCACAGTTTGTTTAACCATTCATCTGTTGAAGGACATCTGGGTTTTTGTGTGTACATAAGTTTTCATTTCTCTGGGATAAATGCCCAAGAGTGCATTTTCTGGATTGTATGGTAGCTGCTTGTTTAGTTTTGTAAGAACTGCCAAACTGTTTCTAAAGTGGCTATACCATTTTATATTTCTACCAGCAATGTCTAAGTGATCCAGTTTCTCTGCATCCTTGTCAGCCTTTGGTGTTTTCGTTATTTTTTTAGCCATTCTCATATTTATCTAGTGGTATCTTATTGTGGTTTTACTTTGCATTTCCCTGATAGCTAATGATATTGAACATCTTTTCATGTGCTTATTTGCCATCTGTGTATCCTCTTCAGTGAAATGCCTCTTCGTGTTTTTTCGCGCCTTTTCTAATTGGATTGTTTATTTTACTGTTGAGTTTTGGGAGTTCTTTATGTATTCTTGATACTAGCCCTTTGTCAACTATGTGGCTTGCAAATATTTTCTCCCAGTCTGTAGTTCATCTGTTCATCCGCTTAACAGGATCTTCCACAGAGCAAAATTTTTTATAATTTTGATGAGGTTCAGTTATCCATTTTTCATTTTATGGACCATGCTTTTGGTGTCAAGTCTAGGAACTCTGCCTAGTGCTAGATCCTGAAGATTTTCTCCTTTGAATTTTTTTTTCCTGAAAGTTTTATAGTTTTACATTTAAGTTCATAATCCATTTTTAGCTAATTTTTGTGTAAGATGTGAAGTTTTAGTTGAGGTTCATTTTTTTTTTTTTTTTTGCCTGTAAGTGTTCAAGTGCTCCAGTATCATTTGTCGAAAAGATTATCATTCCTCCGTTGAATTGCTTTTCCATCTTGTCAAAAGTCAGTCGGGCATATTTATATGGGTCTATTTCTGGGTTCTCTCCTCTGTTCCATTTATTTGTGTGTCTCTCATTCTGCCAAAATTATGCTGTCTTTATTACTGTAGCTATCTGTTGTTGTTGGGTGCCGTTGAGTTGATTCTGACTCATAGCAGCTCCATGTGATAGAATAGAAATGCTCCATAGGGTTTCCTAGGCTGTAATCTTTATAAAAGCAGATTGCCAGGTCTGTCCTCCATGGAGCCATTGGGTGGGTTCAAACCACCAACCTTTGTGTTAGCAG